GAATCTTTGCCATTCCTAGTATACGACTATTCAAATTCCCAGAATTAGACTGTGGAAATCATATAAACTGTCATATCGACTGAAAAAAATAACAAAAAATACCAAAATCTGTCTGCACATACCAAAGCAGCAAGGGAAATGAGTTTCTCGTGTCACTTCCCCGCATTCATAAGTGGCAGTGGCATCATCCGTTGCTTCCAGTAGTGAGGGAGACAGCGTTAGGGGGCCACGGCGCCATGATATTTTAGCACCTACGGCATAAAGGTGAAAAACCGCACCTGCTCAAACAGTTACCAAGGCTACTCGAAGTACTGGGACAGTGCAGCTATGCTGTACGAACACGAAGAAGTGTCAGGAGACTGTTATTGTTGCCAGGGGTATCGAACATTGGCACTTTAGCAGTAAACCCAGAGCACCGGCCTTAGTGTTTATGAAATAAGTTTAATTTTTTTTTATGACAATTATTCCATTTAACTGTGTGTGAATTTCTATAGCATGTGCGAATATTTGCGTATTATCCGTAGTAAAACGTAAGATTCTTTGGTCATTACGTCCAACCATTCGGAAGCTTTGTTTCACTTTAAACTGCAAAAAATAATTTGACGTCTAACCTCTGGACAGAAGATTATAACCGACAAGTTACTCGTCTAAGTCATATATTTGGTCACAAGAATTTATTGTTTTGTGGAAGCAACGCAGGAATAGGGTCCAAACTTGTGAAAGGCAATTCGTAATGAGCATGAGATTGGACTGGAATATAAAATGGTACGATATGCATATAGCAACGCAGGCGACCAAACAGTCAGTCTGTCAGTTAAATGTCCCATTCTAAAGGCAACTGCCAGTAACGGGGACAAAGCAGTACGCAGTGAAATCTGGTCTTGAAAATCTTAAGTGTCAATTAACATACTGTGGCATGTGAACCCATATGCTTCATTAAACATAAAATACGAAAACAGATTGAAGAAATATTCATATGACCGATGTGAAAAGAACCCAAAAGATATATATTACAAGCACTGGGGGCTTGACGGCTATGTCGTGTGAACCCGGAGAAATTGTTACTTGCGTATCAAAAACTAGCAGTTTGCTAATAATCCTATAACAGTAACAATTAACTTATGCTTTTTCGAGATCAACGAGAATCAACTCCGTTCAGATTCGATTCCACACTTATCTGTCGCGTGCGATTTGTCGCCACATGCTTTCGTATTCTCCTTAGCTCACTGATCTTTCGAAGCCGAGGTTCTCCAACTGGGTGCTTGCATTCTCTTAGATGCCAATCCATCACTGCCCATCAATCATTCGTCCAGTCGTGCGACACGACGTCTACCATTGCAGGGCGCTCATTACTTCATTTGGAAACGCCTAGCATCGTTCTTGTTGTCATAGTGCTCTGCTGCAGTCTCGACAGTTCTTTATGTTTTTCGTTAAAGCCAACGTCTCATAACCATATAAAGCAGTTGACAATACCATGCTTTCATGTAATCTGATTCTAAATGCAATTCATAACTTTGTTTTCGAAAACGTTTCTTTTGTACGTATTCCACGTCGCATGACGACTTATGGACCAAAGGGGTGGTCAGACACCAGTAGCTGTCCCAAGTAGAAACACTGGATGACTTGTTCTGTTTGCTAATTAATCATGATCACTGTAGTTCGCAAGAACGAATTTTTAGTCCTCGTCTCATTCATCTGAACACAAAATTGATTGGTTTAAATTTAAGTCTAGATCACACAGCATGGGTCCAACTTGTTTTGCCTTCGTTCTCGAGAGCATGACGTCGACAACTCGTTTTGTGAAAATGTTCTATCCGACTTCCATTTTATGAAATGCTGACGTTTGCCAAACAGCTTGCGCGATGTGGTGTCTCACTGACAAACTCTATTAGGAAACTTCAACTGGAACTTCAAACAGCTGAATCTTCGTTCAATAGAATTTTGACTTATTCCTCTACTTCTTCCTCTAGCAGCACATGCAAAACGT